GGGAGGGGAGTGGAGGGAGGGGTGGGGGAGAATTCTTACCTTTTTGGGGGACTTAAATTCCTGAGCTGCTGTTCCTGCCACACGGTCAGAAAGGGCAGGGAGGGGTGCAGCTGTGCCACTTCACTGACTCTGGATTTGTCCCTCTAGTCAATTTTTACAAGGGGAAAATAATCTCTGTTTATCATGCAAGCTATATATGGTGTGCTAGGAACAGCTAGCTTAATGAGTGTTTTATATTTTAAAAGTATATATTATTATGCTCATATTAAATGTTCATGTGATTTAAATCTTCAAGTATGAATGTTCTAGATTATCCAGTATTGTTATTTCAGACAATGGTTTTTATGTCTAAACAGTACTATTAATCCCAAAGATCTAGTAAATTTAATTTCTTTCTTTAAAGATGATTCCTATTTATCACATGGAAAATAACAGCATTGCTAGTTTTCTAGGTATTAACCGTAGTTACTATGATCTAGTTTAGTAACTGCAGTAAACTCTCTACAATCAATTGTATGTGCAGGATTTGGTTGACGTGTGTGTGTGTGTGTGTGTGTGTGTGTGTGTGTGTGTGCGCGTGCGCTTTATTACTGGCCTTTGTACAGGCAGTCAGGTTTTTTTTCGGAGAGTTGCTGCTCTCCCAGGAGAAATTGTGAGTGTATGTATATGCAGGCTTCTTCTCCCAGGGTAAAAATGGCCACTCCAGGAGAAAAATAACCTGGGAACAACCAGGGTTAAATCACTCCAGAGTTTCTCCTGGGAGAGTGAATGTCTCTACATGCCATAGCTTGTCTCGGAGAACATAATCCTCCAGCATGCCTGCTTTCCCCTCAGGGAGACTGTGAGGCTTGCTGGACACTGCTGCTACAGCAGGCACCAGAACATGACCCCTTCACAATCCCCACATTGTACTTGTAAGGAAGCACAGGCTGACTTTGGCTGACCTACACTGCTCAATAAGGCCTGCCCTATGCACGGTTACCACTGTTGCCAGGCAGACTAAGGAAGCCTGCAGAGCATGTGGAGATGTACACAGCCTCCCTCCTCTCGTCCCCCACCCCTCCCCCACTGGCTGCACAGTATTAACACTGCAAACTTCCCACTCTTCAGGGCCTCAGTATTTGAATGCCTATACACATGGCTCTGGGTAAGTTTCTGTACCAGGAGAACAAACATGGGAGAATTCTCCCAAAGTATTTGAATGTGTGTACGTAGCCAAAATCTAGACCTATGTGCTATTGTTTTGTTGCACTACAGTCAGCTCCCATTGATAGCAGCAGCAGTTCTGTGCATGTAGGGGATGCAGCATCAAGTTTTGAAGTGACACATCTCTTGCTGAAGTAACTGGTCCTTTTATCCTCATTTACTTGCATTTCTTCCTCCTGGTAAAGTGGATTATTAATTGATTTTTTTTTTTTTCTTTTTTAAAACTACTGTCAATGCAGCTATTACCATAGTGTCATAGCTTTTTAATTAATTAGCACTAGGGTTAATTAAGCATGTCAGGTCTAGATTTAATGCCCTTGAATGAAAGTGACAGCCATTACTTCATGGTTATACAGCCAATAACTAGCTGTAAAGGACAGAAAGGAATGAGCTTTCAGATGTTATCTTGCTGGTCATGTTATATTTGGTTCAAGCCTTAAATAGAATAGTACAACCTTAACAAAGCCAGCTACTTGTGCAAAAACAAAATCATAGTGGTCTTGAACAGAGATGTTTAATGTAATATAGACCATCCTAAGTGACTACATTAATTACTGAGAAAATCTTTCCAGTATGGACAAAAGTAGCCAGGGTGGATAAAAATCAATGATTTAAAAAAATGCATTTTTATTTAAATCCAATTTTTTTGATGTAATCAATTGTTTGGTTTTTTTGTTAAAAAAATAAACATATAAAAAGAGAGTTTTAATTTAAGATGTGTTTAAAGCATGAACGACGTGTGCCCCCGGAGGCTGGGGGGGGCACGGCAACCACCCTCAGGCAGTGGTGGCAAGCGGGGAGCTCCTGCAGGCGGCTGTGGTGGTGTCTGGGGGGGGATGAGTGGTGGATGCCGACCACCTGCAGATGCTGTTGGCAGTGGCCCGTGGCGATCAGCGACCTCTTGCAGACGCCTCCGATGGTATTGGCAGTGAGGTGGGGGGGAGGGGCAAGTGGTGACTGCCTGCTGATGCAGCTGGCAGCATCGGCGGTGCTTCTTTCAGGGGCTGCACCACCAATCTCAGGGGCTGTATGTGTACCCGTGTGCATCCGCTACGCGTTGCCAGTGGTTTAAAGCTCAAAGATATCATCATGGAATAGGGATTATGTCTTGTAATTGTATACTGTTTGAGGTGATATATTAATGTAACCTTTTTAGAATTGTTATAAACAGGTCACAGCAGGCCATGGACTATATTAGGGGCTGAATCTTATGTGGTTCCCAGAGGCTCCCCTGTAGATTAGTAAAGATTAAAGAAAACCACTTGACCCAATGGGACTCAGTGCTCAGTATAGAACAGGGTTTCTCAACCCATAGGTTGTGACATAGAAGTGGGTCACAAGAATATATGAAAGGATCAGAGACAAACTTAAAAAATAGATTCTCCTTTAAAGAAAAACATGTGGGAAACCATGGCTTTTCCCTGGCAGGCTCTAAAAGTTTGTCTGCAAGGGGCTGCTTGGGGGCCTCCTGCCACCACCCTCCTGCCACCCCACACAGTTGCCCCCTACGCTGCACACTGGGAGACTGGGCACAGGGGGCAGCGGGTTGGAAGTGAGGGGTACTGGGTTGGGATTGCCCATGGGTCTTGGTACCAAAAAGGTCGAGAACCACTGATCTAGAAGATCCCATTAAGCATCTCTGTGATGCGTAGTTTAAGTTCTCAAACTGTGGATTTGTATCTCCAGAGATCATAGGCAGATAAGGTTCTTTGCGTAAATGTGATTTCTTTTAGACCAACTAAATAGTTGGAAAAATTGTTCTTTGAAAGCTTTTGGGCACAAATGCCCTTCTTCAGGCATAGGGAAAGTTTGTCTCCAGAGATAAATATCCTTGTTAACAGCAGTATATGGAGATGAAAGGTAACAGACCTAATTACCCGCCCATCAGCCCTATTGTCTCTCTGCAGGTTTGTGTACGCACAAGTGCAGTTTCAAGAACTTAAATTAATAAAGGATATCCAACAACAAGAATTCACTTTTTATAGGAAACTGATTAAATTTGAGTCTTCCTGAGCAATGATTTAAATTGATTTGATTTAAATCAAACCCACCCGAAAGTAGCATCACGTGATGATGGACCATCTCATGATAACCTGTTTATGAGAGAGGAGGATTTTTGTGATAGCTTTTATTGGGCTAGCTGTATAACTGGACAAGTTTTTGGGCATCAGGTATCCTTTCCTGAGGAAAGGCACTTGATGCCCAAAAGCTTGTCCAGCAGCTCTCCCCACTATACAGTTGGTCCAATAACAGCTATCACAAAAATTATTTGCTTCTTAGACACTTTCCTGGACCATCATGCCTATAATACTCCAACCCTACTACAGATTTATTTGTGTGCATGTAACTCTGATATATGTAATGACAAATATGTCTTATGGTCATATCCATGCCAAGCTGAATATTGAAGTACTTAAGACTTTCTATAATATAAAATACTTTTGAATGAAGCTGGAATAGCAAGACTCTTAAATTATCAGAAGTGGGTATAGTGGAAATCTTATGTTGCAGTTGCGGGAGTGAGGAGACTTTTAATAGATCATGAATGGGTGATGGATCATGTTTTGGACGCTTTCTCTCTCTTCTGTCCTTCCCTTGTGGTTCACATTCTAAAAGAGCAATCTCTTAATGTTTTTAAAACCTATTCCTACTTTGGTTTCCAGCAAAAACTTAAAATGTTTATTGCTACTCTGAGAATTTTGTAACAGAAGTGCCAAACTACTTCAGAAAGTAATCCTATAAAGGCAGTAACATTAACAAATTTCCTGTTAATAATAGTATCTACTCAAATCTAAGATGACCCCCTACTAACTCGATTATATACATGGAGAATTTATAAAATTGTTATAATTTTCCATGTATAAAATCTAATTATTGGAGGGTCATCTTTAATTCATTACCCCTGCCCCCCACTGCTGCAGGAGGACAGGTAGAAGGGGAAGTCAAAGCAGCTTGCCTCCTCTTCTCCCCCCCCTTGTTTCCTTTCCCTTGCTTTGTGCTGGCAGGCTCAGTTCACACTGCAACCTGGGGCACTGAGCACAGCTCCACCCCAGCCTCTGTTGCAGCCACGTATGCTGCGCACCACTGCTATGGGGCTGGGGTCATACACAGTGCCCCAGGCTGCAGCATGCAAGGAGACTGCTGGTGTGGAGCAAGGGTTAGCAGGGGAAGGAGAAGGGCAAGCAGGAGAGTAGCGGGTTGGGGCAGGCAGCTGTGGCTGTGGCACTGACCCTAGATAGGGGCTGGAGCCTGAGCCACAGCAGCTGCCTGCCCCTCCATCACCACTGTACTTGATTCTAAGACAAGGGGCTTCCCCCCACCTCCCATGTTAAGTGTTGGGGAAAAACCTTGTCTTACAATTGAGCAAATACAGTAATTCAGCAAGCATGTCTTATGAATTACAGGTCAGTGTCTTTATTTAAAAAAAAAATTGTTATTAGTATCATTGGGATACTTTTTTGTTCTTATGAAGTAGGTTAGTAGTCATCTTTTAAACAGTGTTTGATTACAAGGATACCTATAGCATATTAAATATAGCGGTGGACTTGAACTGGGGACCATGTTTGTGTTCATGCACTGGAACTGGGGACCATGCCTTGGACATCCCAAAAGATAAAGCACATACCAGGCTTTTTCATACATATTACTTTCATTAGCAAGGCCAGAGTGCCTTTGAACCTCCAGGTTCAGTTTTATGATAAAAT